AGAAAATAAACGTATTGAGATACGTTCATAATGAACGTACCGTGGGAGAAAATAAGTTTCTAGCTAAACGTAATTGAGAATGCAGTTTAGTTCTGTGGGAATGTACATTTTAGGAGACAGTCAATCAATCAATCAATCAATGTTTATTTATATAGCCCAATATCACAAATGTTACATTTGTCTCAGTGGACTTCACAGTTTGTACAGAATATCAGTATGACAATTCGACACCCTCTGTCCTTAGACCCTCACATCAAGGAAACACTGCCAGAGAAAACCCACAGTTTAAAGGGGAACATGGGAGAAACCTCAGGGAGTGTGTAAATCTAAAAGATAATACATTTTGCAGCGTAGGTAGACCAAATGTTTGGAAATGCATGTGTCTATAATAAGAAGATGAATCCACGAGGATGTCAACATATATAATGTTATACTGCTTGTATGTTAATGTGACAGCGTTCACTTCAGGCTTGTCTCGTTTGTACTTGAAAAGGTTGCTGATCTGATCTTGTGGTGACCTTTTATGTTGCCACTCGAGGAATAAATTTTGACTATAACTGAATTTCCCTTCAGTTAAATCCTCAGTCAGCGCACAGAAGATTATTCATCGTGTTTCAGCTGCAGCTGTTTAAGGATACAATGTTCTTCTTCTACTTCTCTCATGTTTTTTACTTTGTATAAAGCAAACTCTTCACTGTACGAGCTCTGTTCTCAGCCAAACTGAAGCAGTAGGACAGAGTGAATCATTCATGGCAAGACAGATGGAAAGTGTGAGGGTGAAGCTGTTTCGCCCGCAGCGGGAACGGACCTTGACTCAGGCTCTGGCTCTGCGACAGGAAGGGAGCGCCCAATTAGAAAGTGCTCCAAAACACAGGAGTTACACAACCGTACTGTGGGTTACAGAACGGGATTTGTGCCTTCTTATTGTCTAGTTCCCTGATTTGACCTTCAGCTGATACATTTCTACTGAAGTTTCATGCTCAAGAGACCTTGGTTGCAGCTAAGGTGTGTTTAGATGATCAATATTTTCTAGTTTGCCTTTCATCTGCGTGTTACTGAAGAAAACACAGAATTTCTGACACATACATACAGAGGAGAGTTTCGAGCTTCTCTTCCCTTCACAGCTTCTTTTGAAGTTTCTGTCTGATCCAAACTCAACCTCTGTGCCGATGGTGCATTCAAAGGCATCAATACACTGTGCGCTGAATGCAGAGAGATTAATAGTGCATGTTTTTAGGTGAGCCTCGAATCAATTATAGAAAGTGTACGACATGTTTTTAGATGTTTTCACGCCACAAATGTTATGGTTTTCCACAGATTTTATATATTTAACTTGTCAAGTTCACTTTCTTTGGCTGTTCCAAGTAGTTTAATGTCCAAATGACAGAGAGTGAATACACGTTGTAATGGTTGAAGGAGGGTAACTACACACATATCACATTACACACCAATATTGATACATCATGGATACGAATGGTCTGAATGGCTCTACAATGGCAGGTGTCAAAAAAAGTACATATAACAGCAATAAAATAACCATCTTTCTCATTATCATGAATATGTATTATTATAAGCATTATATTTGATTACTTATACTATAAAACAGATTATAAAACGGACAAGTCAAATCAAGCAATCTGATTGGTTCTTAGCCGTGATATACTGAGCGTATACCACGGGTAGAATTGTAANTTACTTTTCACAACAAGTCAGTATCCCTCCGCGTCCGAGAAAAACAGTATACCGTTGGGGTTTCGCGTCGGGCCGAACCACGCCCCTTAGCTGTGATATAATGAGCATACCACGGCCTGTCGTGAGCTATTGCTTAAATCTATCACCTGCATTACAGTACGTTAAGAACAAGTATATTAAACTATAGGAAAAAGAGAAGCCAAGAAACTAGGGTTGGGGGATAGGGCCGCAATACCATTATTTTATAAATATCTATTACAAAATAGCATGTAACATGTAGCATGTAGCAAATAGCATGTTGCCTGGTAATTCAATAAATACATAATCTGAAATAAAGCCTGTAATGGTAAGCCCCTGAATGAACTAAATACTAAATAATTGTGTAAAAAGCAAATTTTAGTATTTTCTAATTCAATTAGGAACTATAGTACAAATAAAAAGTTTGAATTGAATTTATTCCAACACCTTTATGAATACATGTTCCTAAATCTGGTCCAAACGCTCTTATCAAAAATGTACCAGGATCAAAAACAACAAGGAATAAAATGTTGTAAACGTTGATCGTTAATGACAGACTGAAATACATGCTTAGTCGTTATTTATTAACCGTCTACATCAGACAACCCCCGCTGTCGAGTCACAGCTTTGTGCGTGTGTCAGTATCTCCAACACCAGTCGTGTTTTAATACCCGGCCCTGGTGACGGGGCTAATCTCTCTGGGGAGACAGCGGATTAGACGGCATCTTGTGCAAAGCTCCTGACAATCAAAGACCCCCACAACCCCTGGGATCCCTGTTTACTGTTTACTGTACGCAGGAGTCAATCCGAGGTTGAAGGAACAACCATGTGATCAGAGAGAAGCTAATAATGATCAAATCGTTTGTCTGA